TGGCCTCCAACCTAAGAGCGATGGCCTCCAACCTAAGAGCGATGGCCTCCAACCTAAGAGGGATGGCCTCCTATAGAGCGATGGCCTCCAACCTAAGAGCGATGGCATCCAGTCCTCCTTACAGGGAGTCTCGGAACTTTTCGGAGGCTCGTCATCGGAGCTCGAGGCTGGGATCGGTGGCGCTCGCGGTGCTCTTTTGCCTGGACTATCTCCCTGGCGCCTTTGGTGTATGTTTGGAATGAAGGATCTAAACATAGACCAGTCGAATCGTCACCCTCAATCAAACAGTGAACTTTTCTTCAAGATCTTTGTGCCACAAAATCCAGACATGCGGTTGCACAAGTAGTTGCACATTGCAAACAGAAAAGAGAAACATTGCGCACATGAATTGGCCGTCTTCTTTTCATCCATGTTCTTCCAACCGTCCAACCGTCCTTCGTCAACAACGTCCACCCGCCCAGGCTACGAGCGGGCGCCTTTCCTGAAGACGGGCCACGAAACCTACGAGTTCAGTGCCTGGTGCGTGGGAGGTGGTGCCTTGGTGACGGCGACCGCGTCACGTCCGGAGGGGAGTGAAGGAGCGAACCCCGCGGTCCCATCGTGCGCAGGGACTCAGGGAGTGTGAAAAAGATAAACCGAGTGTGGGAGCACAATGGGTAAGGACTAGGAGAACCTGGCAGGGCACTGATAGACTTGACCACTATTCAAGTTAATTCCCTCCAACCACCTTCTGGTTGTTGGATCAAGAGAGAAGAACTTGTTTGCACATAGTCACATAGTACGATATGCAGCAACAAGTCAACAAGTGCTGAAATGTCCAGAATCCAGAAGATAAAGCAAGTTACACATGTTTAGTTTAAATAAACTGTGTATCAATAGCACAATAACGGGTCGACATTTAAGAAGCTATGGCTGTAAACTTCATTTGACCCCATGCACTACTTTGTGAAGGATCCCATGTCCATATCAGGTGTTGATGTCAATTCCGTTGCCGCCCCGGAGTGAAACAAGAGGATGTTGCCGTTGCGTTTTTCTTGGTTGTCCTGGTCGCCGTTTTCTGGTTGCTGGGTCTTTCCCTTGGAACAGCCGTTGTCACTGGCGATGTCGTCTGGACCGGTGTGGAGCCGACTGAGCCGAGTGGAGCCGACTGAGCCGAGGCATGTTGATGACCGTGGTGACCTTCATTGTTTGGCGTTCCAAGAGCCGAATCTTCGTCGACATCCTTTGCATGGAGCAGCACAATCCCAAACTCAAGGCAGGGACGTCACACCTGACCCACCGGTATGGGACATCAGAGGGGGAGCTTTTCAAGGAAGATCCAGTCACTTTCAGAAGTTGTCAAGAGATCGCTCGTGTGCTTATGAAATGAGATGAAATGAGTAAAATAGGCGGCATTATCGATCAATCGGGAACCTTCAGTCTGAGTCCACTGGTGTTTGTTACTTTGAAAAAGCACGCTTTGTGAGGCATCAACCCACGTTTCGGAGCCATTTTCTGCAGATCCGCTCCCTCGAGCCCTTAGTTGGCTTGAGGTGATTGTTTCATTGATCCAAACTCGATTTCCCACACATCCTGTTCGGTAGGGCTTCCTCCTTGAGGTATCACATCCATGACTTCCCCCTGAGGGTGCTCTTTTTCATGTGGGAGTGAGAGACCCCTAGATAGGCCCTAGATCCCTGGCAGACACAACACCATTGCTTGGTAACATCACTTCAACCAAACCACGCCCGATTCCCACCGGTGCTTCGTGTCAATCGTGGATGGCAAAAGTGATGGCGAACTCGGCAAAGTCAACGGCAAACCACCGATGTTCACAACTACCTGGATTCCCTGGGTTGCCAAAATCAAGTGCGATCAAATGATTAAGCGAAGACTCAGCATTTGTGTGTCGTATTTTCCGGCAAAAACAGGTGAAGCCTGTTGTGGGGAAAGCGAAAATGAAGTTTCCAATGTGCTGCTCCAATTTGGGTTTGTGTGAAAATGGCCCCCGAACCAATGGATTTTGGGGTCTTCCTAGCTCCACTTGAAGGGGGGGTTGACTAGCCATTTCAAGTTTAGAAGTTCAATCCTGACCTTGAAGCACCAAATATTATCAAGCATATTCTGAATATTCTTTCTTGGGGAAGGCACGACTGCCTGGAGAGACGCAGCTTCCGGGGTTCAGCTAAACCAGTCTCTTTCAAGTCTGGATCTTTCAGTCTGGATCTTGTCCAAGTGTCCGCTGATGTGAAAAACCACCTGAGAACTAATTATGATTTAATGGCTGTTTTAAACTGCTTTTCTCAAAACATGACCTCCGGTTGATTCCCTGGACCACATACATCCACATACCAGTGCCCGTGTTTGCCGGATTCGCAGTGAGCTCCTTCGCTTCACCGGGCTCCGTCGCTTCACCGGGCTCCGTCGCTTCACCAGGCCGAAGGCCTCTTGAACATTGGCGGCATCCTCAAGCACTCGGACGCTCGCTCTGAGACCGCAGACCGACGACCGGGCGATGGTACCGGGCGATGGTCTCAGTCCGGGCGATGGTACCGGACACCAGTGATGGTCACCAGTGATCCGTTGGACCAAGGGACTTGGGACTGGCCTATTGACCGATCAGTTGGCGTTTCAAGGATCAATGATGATCAATGTATATATAAGTAGGCATAAAAAAGGCCGAACATATACATATGTGTTCTCCAAGGGGATAGCATGCCTGAAATGGTGGTTCCACCGGAGCTTTTGAAGTCAGGGCTGCCTGACCTCTCCCACCCGACCTCCTTGTGAGGTAGGTGGTGAGAGGTCAGGTGGTCTAATAGCAACTTGGGTGGACCACTTCTCGGCCTCAGCACTCCTCGTGGAGTGAGAGGCTGAGGAGTGGCCAAGTTTGGGCCTCTGGGGACCCCAGGCTCTCTCGTGGGAGTGGGGGGACCCAGAGGCCACTGAAGGCCACTTCTCTGAGGGTCCTATCCCTCTCGGGCAGGAGCCCAGAGGACCTGAGAAGGAGGGAAAGAGAGAGTGAAGACAAGTGAGAAAGTAAAGATGGAGAGTCAGAAGTTGCGGTTTTTCAAAAAGGGCGGAGCCCTTGAGGATTGGAATGAGTTGTTGCAAAGTGGCCTTCTGCCCCACCAGATGAGTTGGGTTGATGCCAAAGGGCATGATGACATCCTGAGCTATGCGGAGTCAGTGTTGGGAAAAGGTTTTGTGATGGAGTATGAGTGCCATGATTGGGATGGCCGAGCTCAGGGGAAAGCATGCCTCCGATTCGATCATTGGAGTGAGGTTGGTAGAGGTTTTTGGTTGGAGATCATTTGGTTGCAAGTGACGGTTACTATGAGTGGTACGGCCAACATTACCTGATGCATAGAAAGGGGCTGTACCATTTGTGCAGTGGAGACAGAACAAAGTGTAAGGTGAAGTTGCCACGAGGAGATGGAAGAGAGTTGGTACATATCAGCTGGTCAATCCGTTGATGATGCATGATATATGGAGTACTCCAAAAAGCGTGCATTGGAGGGCATCATGAGCTTTATTGATGCCTGGTCACCCCGTGTGCATGAACCGGCAGGAGCGCCTGGTGTGAAAAGAAAGGTGGAGTCCTTCGAAGACCCAACAGGAATTGATAAGGCCCTGGAGAAGGCAAAGAAGGCGGCGACCGAGAAGATGGAGTCGGAGGAGAAAAAGGAGGAGGCCCATGGTGAGAGTGGAAGAGGGCCGAAAGGGTCAGTTGGCGCTGCTGGAAAGGAGGGCGGCGGAACGGCGTGAGCAGCAGCGGAAGAAGGAGGAGGAAAAGAAGAAGGAGAGCCGTGGCCGGAGCCGGAGCCGCAAAAGGCGCCGGGGAAGGAAGGAAAAGCGACCATCGAGGAGAAGTGAGTCGGGCCATAGGAGTGAGAAGTCACAGAGAACTCATCATCATGGGCGAGTTGCCGGAGCTAGGAGACCTTCTGATGCAGCGGTTGAAGGCTCTGGAGACCAGTCTGGTCGGCAGCAACTGGATATCAGCACGGCATCAGGAATTGATACCTCCACAAGCCGCAAGCTTGTCCTCAGAGAGCGAGAGGAGAAGAGCAGCAAAGCAGGAAGCCGCCAGCCTGAAGCGGTCAAAGAGCCCCGAGCAGGTGCGTCGAGTCCATTTCGACGATCGGCCAAGAGAGATAGGTCGCCAAGGAGGAGCCAAGGAGAAACCCGGAGGGTTGTCCTCCGCGAAGCAAAGGAGGTCCGCCGCCCGCCTGGCAGAAGGCGATATGGCCGAGGAAGCAAAGGGCCTGGAAAGATCGCAGGAAAGCGACAGTGGCAGCGAGTCCAGCGAGGAAGGGTTTGAGGCCCTTCCAGCGAAGTCCAACCCCGAGGAGAGTGATGGAGATTGGGAAAGTTTGAGAAGTGTTGATCTTGAAGCTGGAGTTGAGGAGAGTTTAGCCATAATGCAGCGGTGGTTAAAAAGTGAAGAGTGTGGTGGCCTGAGCATTTCACAAACAGGAGGACTTTTGGCGTTGGTGTGCATGTGAAGTGGTACGAACTTGGGCGAATATCGAGCCGGGGTCTGACGACGGCAATAGGGGAAGACAACGGGAGGTTCTGCCCCTGCCGCTGTGGGCCGATGGGAAGGAGCAGCTCAGGAGCCTCTTCGAGTCTGGGGACTTTCGGAAGTTTGGAGGCACAGACAAGAAGGCCTTTCGACATGCACGACGAGCCGGTCTGCTCATTTGGCATTGCTTGGCTGTGGTGGTGCTGAATTTTCTGTGGACAGGAGGAGGAAAGCAAGCGAAAGTTCATAGAGGAACCACGAGTGTGAGTCAGGCTAGGGCTTTGGATCGGATTTGGGAGACGGTGAAGGCCTTCGTCGATGATAGCTCGGAGACAAAAACAAAGGTGCCCCGCTCCCCAGAGATGGGGGTGGGGAAGAAAGGTTGGTGATGTGAGGATCTCATATCAAGGTGAGATAGTGGAGAAGGACAGCGTCTGACACTGGATCAGGTCCTGCCTGGTTTGCCACCTGCGGGTTATGGAGCAAGTGTTCCGCTCGTAGAGTTGTGTGAAGGGGAGTTGAAGGAAAAGCTCCTGCATCCACTGAGCAATCTATTGTCGGAGGAGGAGATGCCAGTGGTGATGCCAAGGCCTCAGATTCATGCCTCCCGTGACGGATGGGAGAAGATCGCAGGAGAGATGTACAAACGAGGCCTGGTGAAGACAGTCGAGGCGCCGGTGCTTGTGAGAGGTAGGTACCTTGTGAACGGCAGCTTCGGAGTGGCAAAGCCCGGCAAGTACCTTGATGATGAACGTCCAGTCCTGAGATTGATCATGGATTTTCGAGGGACGAATGCCGCGACTCGAGTTCTTGAGGGAGATGTCCGGACCTTGACGGGGGCACCGGCTCTGCAGCATGTGGTTCTCCCAGCTGGCAAGGTGGTGAGGATGAGCGCAGATGATCTGGTGTCAGCTTTTTACTTATTTGCTCTGCCACCGGGTTGGCCTGAGATGATGACGTTTGCAGAGAAGGTGAGCTGGAGAAGCCTGGAGTAGAGCGAGAAGGAGAAACCTAATTATATTGGTGCAGCTGGTTCACCTGTTCTCCCAATGGGTTGGGCGTCGGCAGTAGGAGTGCTGCAACATGCCCATAGGAGATTGGCTCTGCGGTCACCCTTGCAAGGCGGAGGAGGTTTGTTGGGAAGGTGTGAGATACGGCGACATAGCGTCTTCCCGAACCTGGAGGAGGAAGAAAAGTTATGGTCCTTGTATCTCGATGTCACCAGCCTTTATGAGATCATGGAGGCTCGTGTAGCAGAGGACCTTGAAGGCAAAAGCTCAGAAGAACAGGAGGCCTTGAGGCGAGCTTATGCGCATTGGGGGGTCCCGTACTCGAAAGAGAAGAGCTTGCAGAGAGCCCGGAGGGCCGAGAAGCTTGGAGCTGTGGTTGACGGGGACCGAGGAACCCTCCCTTCAAGGATCGATGAAGAGAGCACTAGATAGCCTGTCGCTGAGCTTCTGGCTACTGAGACAAGAGAAGGTACCCGCGAAAGGATTCCATTTTTTCTGGGACGAGAGGTGCACACGCTTCAGTTCCGTCGACCTTTGTTTGGAGTCTTCGACTACCTCTGGAAGGACATCTCGGATGGCGAGGTCATGATGGAGCTTGGAGCCAAGTCAGTGGAGGAGATACTGATGGCAGGTTGTAGTGAGCCTCTGAGAGTGACTGACTCGAGGGCCAAACTGCATGAAGTGGTGACAGCCTCTGATGCCAGTGAGACAGGTGGTGGCTCCGTGTATGGGTCGAAGCTGACCTCCCGAGGGCTCAGAGAGATGTGCGCCTTGGAAGAGGAGGAGGATGATGTCGGCGGAGAGGGCATCAATTTGGATGAACCCCAAAGCGTGCTGGTGTTCGACTTCTTCGCAGGCCTATAGGAGGCCTGAGCTGTGCACTGGAGCTGGCAGGACAGAAGGTAGATCATTTAGTGGTGATTGAGAAGGACCCCGAATGTCGAAGGCTAAACAAGACAAGGTGGCCTGGATGTGATGTGATAACTGATATCACGAGGGTGACAAAAGGAGAGATAGAGAAGTACATGAGGAGTGTACCAGGCCTCACCGGAGTGATTGCTGGGGGAGGCTCTCCGTGTCAGGGTCTGTCAAAGTTGAATGTGGACCGAATTCACCTTCAAGACCCGAGGTCCCAGTTGTTCTACAAGTATGTGGAGATTCTGGGTTGGATTGAGGACGACCTGGCAAGAGAAATGAAGGTATGGTCTGTCCTGAGGTGGAGAATGTAGTTGGAGATGAGGAGGACATCCGAGAGATGAGTCAACAGCTGGGATGCCGTCCGGTGCATGTTTGCTCGGGGTGCCTATCGTGGGTTCGGCGCCCAAGATTGTATTGGAGCAATGTGGCATTGGATCAGCTGAACCATCACGAGCTCTATGATGTGTTAGAGTTCAATGAGGAGTTGGAGCCTCTGGGGTCGGTCTGTGATGAAGGGTGGTTTTGGCCGGCAGCGGAGGTCAATAAGAACCTTCGGTTGCCGACTTTCACACGAGCCATTCCACGGAGAAATCCGCCCAAGGAGCCAGCGGGGCTGCAGTCCTGCGATCGGAGCACAATAGACAGATGGAAGGAGGATAGGATGAAGTTTCCTCCATACACCTACCGGCCGAGTTCCTTTTTCACTATGGGAGAAGAAGTGAAGCGTGTGGCATCGGCAACGGAAAGAGAGAGATTGATGGGATACCCCACGGGGTACACCTTGGCTCTGTTTCGAAAGGAAGCAGAGACGGAGGAGGAGAAGAGGAAGCAGACGGTGGCTCGAGAAGCGGCTATCGGAAATAGCTTCCACACTGTGGTCGTGGCTTGCTTGATGGACCTGCATATGGAAGAAGCAAGCCCGAACTGATCCGAAGGGAGCCAGCACCATAGTGAAAAGATGGCATGAGGAGATGGCAGTCAGGAGGTTCAATGACATTGGGGAAAAGGATGATGCCACGACGCATGTTAGCGGAGTGAGAGAGACAAGGAGGAGGAAGAAGCCCTGGTGCAGTTGGTCCGAAACCCAAAGCGCGAACAATGGCTTCGTCTGGCTGGACATAGTTTTGGCAAGGATGGAGGAGCCCGGTTGTTGAATGTCCGGCTGATTCACCACTATCTTCGGAGGATGGAGTTTCGTGGAAGCGATGTTCGGTTGGACCTGCAGGTCGTGTACCGTCCGGATGCTGTGGTCCGCACAACAGTTGATCCAGGCCGATGGGTTTGGAAGACGGCCCAATCGTACAAGTGGCGCCGAAATGAGCACATCAATCTTCTGGAGTTGAGGGCGATCCTGAGGAGCCTAGAGTGGCGGGCCCGTTCGGCCTCCTTTCATTCCTGCAGGCTATCGGATTCCCAGATCTGCCTGGCTGTACTGACGAAAGGTCGGAGCAGCTCGAGAAAGATCAATCGCATTTTGCGGAAGATCTCAGCCTTGTGTGTCGCGTTGAACCTTTTCCCTTTATGGGCTTGGATTGCATCCCGATAGAATCCCGCGGATGGTCCAAGCAGACGCTTTGAAAAGGATGCCAAGAAGGGAGATTAAGCGAAAAGCCACAAAAGCAGACCGCAAGGCTGAAAGGCAGAAAGTGGGAAGGTTGTCAGAGCAAAGAGTTTCACAAGCAACTGCAGAAAGATATGCCGTTGCCTTGCATGGCCTGAGTACCTTTGTGGGAACCCCAGAGGTAGAACTGCTGAAACGAGCAGACCTTGAGTCAGTGCTTTGTCAATATGTTGAGTTCCTCTGGGAGGAAGGAGATCCCAAGACAATGGCCAATTATGTGATGGCTGCCGTTCAGTATCGAAGGCCAGACCTCAGAGGAAACTTGAAAGGAGCATGGCAGCTGGTTTCCTTATGGAATAAGTTGGAGCAACCCTTGCGGGCTACGCCCCTTAGTCCTGAATTAGTGTTGGCTTTTGCTGGAACACTATGGCAGTGGCAATGGCCTCGCTTAGCCCAGCTTACCATGGTAGCCTTTTGTGGTCTCCTACGGACGGGAGAGATGTTTCAACTTAAGCGGCAAGATGCGGTGCTGCCACGAAAGGAAGGACAGTCCGCGATCCTCTTCCTGCATGACACGAAAACGTCACAACGAAATTTTTTGAGGAGCGAGAAGGTACTCATTCCTGAGAAAAGCGGCATTGCTTGCTTGCGCGCTCTTTGTCAGAGACGCAAGCCTGAAGAAAAGTTGGTGGATTTTTCCCCTGCTGCTTTCCGGTCACTATGGAAAGAGGTTGTGCCTCACCTCGGCCTGGAAAGCTTCAACTACGTTCCTTACAGTCTGAGACGGGGGGGAGCCACTGCAGCCTATGTTCAGGGCACGCAATTTGATCAGCTTTTGGCCAAAGGCCGCTGGCAACATATTGCCACTGCACGTCTTTACCCCGATCAAGCCCTTCAAGAATACACTGCTCTTGTCCTACCACAAGCCGTGACCCGTAAGGTTCGCGCAGCAAGCCAAAGGTTTGCTGCCGAGCTGGGACGCGTGGAGGAGGGGGCAAGGAGGACTTGATCGGGTAGAGGGCATAGGAAATGCCTTTTGTTCAGCAGGCACTTGACCCCGGCATAAAAGTG